GCAAATTCTTTATCCCCACTTTCCTCAAACTGGTCACCTCAAAGTTCTCAGTCTTTCCTTTGGGAGCATCTCACATGATGACGTGACACCAACTAGTGATGAAGGAGGAGACAGCCAAAAGAGACCAGGAGAATCTTTCTGTAGATAGCTTTTTATAAAAGCTCTTTGGTCCCATGTAAGTCACCCTGGGTTGTTGTCGCTCTCCCTCTCCTGGTTTCTGGTTACTGCACCCATTGGTTACTTTCCATCTCAAATCCCCCTGGAAGCTGATGGAGAGCAGGTGACTCCTCCTTTGAGCACCGGAGTCCACGAGGTCCTTGATCCTTCTGGACCACATTGTACTAAAAGATAACAAAAACTGTGGTGCTTTTTATAAGGTGAGCAGTCTCTCAACGCAGGATTATTTTATTTCCCATTATATGTACTATTTATTATATATCATTAAACCCACGTTGACACCACGGTCAGGTTTGACCCCCCCAGCACCGCACAAACACCAACAGGTACAGGAGCAGAGATGGGCAACAGATAACCAGACATGGATCAGTCTCCATATCCAAGGAGGGACTATGAAAGTTAGAAAAGAATTGAAAAAAGAAAGTCAAAGGTCTACAAAAATCAAGAAAGGCACAGGGAAGACAAAGGGAACAATTATTCACTGTTTCATGGAAACAGAGAGGCATCAAACAGAAAATAAAAGCAACCTTACACATGCAGCAGAGTTCCAGTGCAGAATTACCCCAGGTGTTACAAACGACAACAGTAATAACAGATTCAATAAAGTAATTAAAAACACAAAAGAAATTGACAGAGGTCTATGGAACATGAAATTGTGCAGTAAGTTCTAACTGAATTCTAAGGTACTGTAAAGAACATTTAAATTTTTAAAAAGCTCACTGAAATAAAAGAGCAGTGCTTTCATCGTAATTTTACAGCAACTGAAAGTAAACTCAAAACACTCCTCAATTCTCAAGATTTTAATTTTTAAATAAAGAGAGAGACAAGATTCTGTCTAAAAGTTATGTTTGTACCATAGAAGGCTAAATCCATAGTAATAGATGCCTAAACCAGAGCAATCCTCATACAACGCCGACAGTCAGTTAGTTGGAAGTCAGAAAAAATACATGTAATATACATTGTATAATGTATTTATATATGTATAATACAAATAGATAGAGTGAAAACATGGCAGCTGATCTCCTAAGTGTAAAGAGTCATTTGCTCCCGCTGCCATCCAACAGATCCATCATTAATGCAAAAAGAAAGATCTAGTATGAGCTAAATAAAAGGGAGCATGAAATCCTGAATTAAGTTATGGTGAATAATTAAATTATCAATTATCAATGAGGACTGTGACCTTTTCCTCTGAACCATCCATTGGCCACAGGCAGCCAGTGATACAGCAAAAGCCAGGTGTGAAGAGGAAAGTTGCTTAAGGAAGACTTGTTAGTGCACAAGGTGGACAAGCTCCCTGGGGCTTTTTGTCTGCCACAAAGCACTCCGTTGCTGTGGTGCCACTCTTGTCTTCTACAAAGTGATGCCACCGAGGAGCACAATGGCAATGACAGCATTCACTGACACACAAGTGGGTTGGTACTTGATAGGACAAGAGGAAATAGCATCAAGTTGCGCCAGGGGAGGTTTAGGATGGATATCAGGAGCAATTTCTGCACCGAAAGGGTTGTCAAACAATGGAAGAGGCTGCCCAGGGAATGGTGGAATCCCCATCCCTGCAGAGATTTAAAAGCCGGGCAGACGTGGTGCTGAGGGACATGATGGTTGGACTCGATGATCTAAAAGGTCCCTTCCAACCCATTCTATGATTCACCTTCAATCTCTCACTACAACATTCCCACCTCCAGCCACCTGCCCAGCGGGAATGGAAGTAACTGGTACCCAGGCAAGGAGGAAAGGACACGCAGCGGACAAGGAAGAGGTTTCCAACTTCAGTCAAGAGGGGGATAGTGAGATACAGTGAAGCAGCCAGAAAACAAGACTTGATCAATATCCAGCAGAAATAAATACACAGAGTGATGCTGTCACAGCAAGGGATTTCACCTCTTGAAAATTAAGATTTCCCTAGTACAGAGCTAGTAGAGAGTAACAATAATCATTAATGTTGTTATCACTAATAATAATCACTAGTCTTATAATACATTTGTATGACCAAGGACTTCAAAAAACACAACTGTGGGTTTGTATCAGACAAACCCTCCTCCCCCCAAAAAAGGTTAGATTTCTAACCCTGCTGCTGACCAAAAGGCACAACCACTCATCCATTTATCAAAAAACTCTTTCCAAGGAACCAATAAAAGGTTTCATTAACACCCAAAGAGCTCTCGTTCAACACCAGAAGAAAGCACGAGAGGGACGGCGTTGACTAAGATTGCGCGAACCTCCAAGGAAAACGAAAGACATCCAAAAATAAACACAAACAGCGCTGGGGAAAGAGGAGGAGGAAGGACAGGAAGGCAGAGGCACCAGCCAGTTCAACTGGGGGTTTTCTGGGGACAAGCAGGGACATCCCTACGGCTGCCACAACCAAACCACGGGCGCTTGGGCTGCTGCTGGGGACAACCCATCTCATCCTTAATCACCAACCCCTATTCTGGTGAGCAAACACACCCGCATGAAGCACCTTTTCTGTCACCCAATATGCACAGAGTGGATCCAGCCTCCAGATTCCAAACCCTGCCAGTAACAAAGCTCTCACAACCCCGTCACCGTGGCCAGGATGCCCAGCTGGGGCAGGGGCTGCTGGAGAACGCCTGTCTGTAGCGGGCAACAAACTCTGCAGGGCCACAAGCTACAGCTGAAACACCAACAAAAAGTTTCGAGATCTTAACAACTCTAGTCTTTGCTTCTCCTGGAGCTCACAGAGGTGGTTTCACGCTGCCACCCGTGCCCTCTCCTGCAGAAGAGGGTTAAGGCACCGCCATGGAAAGACTTGCCCCCAGGCGACAGCTCAGCCCGGTCCCCCCGGCCACGCCCAAGGACCGGCGGCCGCCGAGCTCCCCCCGCCGCAGCCCGGGGGCTCCCGAGCGGGCGGCGCCGCTCTCAGCGAGGGGAACCGAGCGCTCGGGCCGGGCCACCGCACCCCAGGCCTGGCGGCCCCGCAGCCCCCGCCGGGCACCCTCCGGGGGAGCGGCCCCGCCGCCGCCCTGCCCCTCGCCTCACCTCGCCGCCGGCCGGGCTCCATCCCGCCGCCCCGCCGGGCCCGCCGGGCCGGGACAGCGGCCCGCCCGCTCCCCGCAACTTCCCTCCGAAGCCCGCGGGCAGGGATCGCTCCC